CCAAATTTGTTATCTTTGCTACTTTTTTCTTTTGTATCCTTCACTGCGACCTCCTCCTCCTTGTTCACCATCATCGTCGCTTTTGTACACTTCCAACCTTTGTACATTCTCTCTCCATTCCTTTCTTTGAATTTTCTTTTTTTCTTCAGATCTCGTGTTATTTTTATTTGATACATGCCATTTAATTAAATTATCAGTACCTTTTTGTCTTCTTTATTTATCTTCGCCGCTATAGTTCTTGTCTATTATCGCATCTTTTCCACCATCACCTCCTCTGCTACGATCTCCTTAAAGGATAATTTGGTATTTGTCTTACCCCTACCCTACATTAAAGAGTTAATTTCCAAAGAAAACTGACGCAAAATTAGTTTCTTAATTTTTGTGTAGAATTTGGTTATTTGTTAATATTAGCCAAATTTTTTTTTCTATCAAAATCATGGCGTCTATCCAAACTAAAAAATGACAAAATATGAACGTAAGTATTGTAATAATATTATTAATCGGGAAGATTTAAGCTCAAAACATCATTTTTTAGTTAGTCATACTATTTTTTTTTGTAATTTTTCATATTACTTGATGATGTTTTGTTTTTTTTACGAACCAAATGCATGAAGTAAGAAACGTTTAACTACGAAATTTATTTATTTTTGAATAATTATGTAGAATTATATATATGGTTTACACTATTAACTTTATTTTAATTTTTTTATATTTTTCAAAATAATATAAATATTTGGTGTGTTTATACTTAATATAATTATAAATTATATTTATTTTGGTCATTTTTGATTTAACAGCTGTCGTATCCGCTTGTTAACCAGTCATAAAACTCTCGCAAACGCAACAATTTTCAATGCCAAACTAGTCGTTCAAAATGTTTAATAACGCTTGAAACCGCAAGGTCTGCAACTGTCCGTTTCCAAAAATTGTCGCAGTCGCAAATGATGTGAGTCAAATTAGACCTAAGACTACTCTCTCAAATAAGAGATCAATTGCAGTACTTTAGGGGCGAAATCCACAAATCTCTCGTGTTCACACAATAGATTAACAAGGTTTGAATTAAGCTAAACAAGAAATTAAGTAAATTAAAAGACAAGAAAGCAATTAAAATCGAGTTTTAAATCAGATGAAGAAAACATCAGGCTTAGGGATTTCTCAAGAAATAAATAAATAGTAAATCTAGCAAATTAGTTAGGATTATTAACGAACCGTTCTAGAACTCAAATCACTAATTTATAGCCAACCACCTCTCGAATGAATTGACTAACTAAACCTAATATCAGGAAGTTCCACCTCTCGAATGTAAACTCCTAGAATTAGACTAGCATTAATAACATGTTTGATATGTTCACATATATTCCTAGACCACCTCTCGAATGTATCTAGTAATTTCTGCCCACCTAAGATAGTTCTAGTAATAGATGACCTCTCAAATCTACCTATTATCCTAAGATCAAATTCTAGTTAATTACTCTAGAATCAGCATTAAGAACAATCAAAAGTAAAAAAATCTATAGATTTTATCCTAACAGGTTATCGATCTACTAATTCATCTAAATCCCTATTGAGAATCCCTAAACCTAACAAGCAAACTACTCAGACATGGAGATTGAAACAAACAACATGTTATGAATAAAAAGCATAAAGGAATTTAATAAAAGAGATGAGTTAAGAAAGATCTTCTCTGGAGGAGCTCTCTCCAATTATATCCCAAAGGGTTCAAGCTCCAAAGTACAATAGAATAAAAGATTGATAGATCTCTAAAGAAAAACCCTAAAAACTATTTATAAAGTCTCCAAAACGTGCAGGGACTAAAGTTGCAAATTGGAAAGTCTTCTGGGTTGATTCTTCGGGCTTTAAAACTCTTAAACCGTCGAGAATTTTGCTTGGTCGCGTGTGGTGTCGAGCGACACCAAGGGGTGTCGGTCGACACTCATGCCTTGATCTGATACCGAAATCGTTTCTTCAGCTCTAAATCTCCGGTTTACCTCCAGAATGGTTTCTTTTCTCCAAATTTGTCTCAAACGTGTAAAAACCTGAAAAAACTCAAAAAGAAACTAGAAACAAAGAAAAGACTCTAAAAACAATACATATATCACGGCTAAAATCGGTAAAATCCATGAAATATCAGCAACTGTACCCTCTACATTTAAACAAGTAAAACCTTTAATTGTAAATGTACTTCTCATTATTGACAATAATTAATTATTTATTTTTGACCTCATGCCAATTAAATTTATAGAAAGTGGGGATGTATATTCAGAATGTTGTATATAAATTTGAACTATATGTCATTTATTAGTGTTTGTGAAAGTTACTATTGATAGATGGTCTTTGTGACGTTAAAAGAAACAATAATTGATTATGTAAACTGCATTTAAAAACTTTCTTTACAACAACAAATTAAAATTTTTAAACCAATAGAAGACTTCGGATGATAGATAAGATTTTGAAAGTGACCAACTCATTATTCACTCACTAATACAGTATTTGCTAAATGAGTTGAGTCAACCCATAAACTCATTTAACCATAAACTCATTTAACTCTAAACTCATTGGGTAATGAGTTGAGTTGAGTTGGGTTAACCATTTTGACACTCCTACTAATACTATTCACTATTTTTGTTTATTACATTAACAAAATAGTGGACCAACCAAACATTTTAAAAGAATGGATTTGATTGATAATCTCGTTTAAACGAAGCAGTATAACCTATTTTAATAGTTGTCTGAAAGACGATTAAAAAATAAGACAACAAAAATAGTAGAAAAAAAAATTAAATCAAAAAAGAAATAAATATTTGCTATGATTTTTGACATGCGGTTGAAATGGAAAATAATTTTTTTAATAAATAAATATAAAAATTTTAAAATAATAAAAAATAATTTTAATAGAAATTTTATATTCTATAGAAAACAATAGAAATAAACATTTTTCAAAATTTTAAAATAATGTTTGCTATTTAATTTTTTAATCGATGACCTAGTTATCCAACACTTGATATTAAACTCTTCTTAAATTTTTTAGTCAGTGAACGATGTCCTAATGTTTTTTTTTTTTTACATTTCCAATTTTAGGGAAAGAATAAAAATGAACAAAGGCCGTGTTTTACATCATGGGAAAAATACATAATAAGTTTTAAGTATAAGAACAATTAAAATAGTGATTACATAATGATTAAAAAGAAATCATTTCTTAGCACAATATCTTTTTTTTTGTCAACCACACATTAATTAAAAAAATAACTTCATGTTTGGTTGCCCAATCAGGAGGAGTAGTGTTTACAAAAGTAACTTTAGAAAATAAAAATTTAGAAGAACGGTTTAAACAGTCCGCCTTAACATTTCTTAGCACAATATCATAAACTGATTTTAATTAATTATCTATTAAAATACAAAATTTACCATTTCAATCTATGTTTTATTTATTCCGTCGGGCTGACGAATAAGTGAAGCTTGAATTTCTTCAAGTGATAATCCTTTTGTTTCCGGAACGAGCAACCAAATAAAAAGCAATGCTACTCCTCCGATTGCCCCAAATACGTAAAATGTTCCTGTTACATTGATATAAATTATTAACTTATACTTGATGTTGTTCCCTAATTATAACATAAATTTTCAAACATAATCTAACTTTTTTTTTTAATTCGGTCTAGTCTGGAAAAAGGCATTATAACTGTTGATAGGCTTTATAATTATGCGAATTACATACATTTTCTAGACTTAACCTTTGGTTTGGATTTGCACTTAATCTAAGATTAGATTAGAACTAACTTGTCCAACATTTACAACATATTTATCCCAACAAACATGTAAACTAATAAGTCTTTTAATATTCGGTTTCATATGAAAAAATGAATTGATGCCTTATAAAATGTATATAGGTTTTATAACAATGCGATAAATACAAACTAGGTGATTAAAAAAACAGATTCTGAAATCTATTTTTTATTTTTTTCTAGACTTAAATGAATTTAAAAAATTTTTGCTTGACCTAGGTAAATTATAACCTAAATGAAACTTGTAGAATTGTATTTTTTTAAAAAAGGTAAATAAGAAAAAACATACCTTGAGTGCTCCACTCGAGCAGAAAGTTGAAAGCGTAAGTGACGATCGAACTACTTGACCATGATACTAACGTAACTATACTTCCTGCTGTTACTTTTATATTCATTGGAAATATCTGCACACAAGAAAAAAATTATACATATATTATGATTATTATTGAAACTTAGAATTCAACAATGTGCAATGATTTTTTTTTTTAACTCATAAATATATTACTTCATTCAGAAAACATATACTTATTTTCTGCATTGAAAATAAAAGTGGAGCTAAATAATGTACCTCAGACATAATTACCCAAGGAAGGCCTCCCAAGCCTATTGCAAAAGTTCCAATATACAGCTGCCAATAAAGAAAAATCATTATTTTTAGAGAAAAAAAAAAAGACAAAAAATGTTTATTAATGTGAAAGTAGATAAAATGTTTTACCGTGACGCATATAAACGTGAATACTGGAGTTAGTTCTTGTAGCAATTGCATTTTCTGCTCAAACCATAATAATATTCAAAAAAAAATTGTTAGATAAATAATTTACATTACAAATATAAATAACATTATAAAAGGACTCTATAATAAATAATAATCATTATAAATATTTAACATAACCTGTAATGTGAAGGCGACTCCAATAAGCATGGAAGTTATACACATCCCAGATACAGAAGTCTATATGTCAAAATAGGAGGAAACAAATCAATATCATCAAAACAGATTTTTAACTTTCTATTTACTGGTAGTAGTAAATAATTTTGTTATAAGAAAACAAATACGAAAAAAAAAATTGTAAATGTGTAATAAGAAAAGAAATGTTTTAAAGGTGCTCACCAACAAGAGAGGCCGTCTGCCCCATTTATCGACAAGTATGACACCAATCATGGCTTTTGGAATCTGAGAATAGTACAAAATAAAATTCTAATTATCAAAGAAAAAAAAAACCATAGAATTGAAGTTCATTGAATTTTGAAAGTTTAACATAAAAGAAATGTCGATTTAAACGCCAACATCATAAATGTGTCATCCTGCATCCAAATATACTTACCATGAAGAGGCCTAGCAGCGTCGATCCAATGGTCACCGAAAAACCTGTTTCAACCCAAAACAAAAGAAATAGAAAATCAAAATTGTAAGAGAACTCAAGTAAATGTTTTCTTAAAATGTAAACTAAAACATTTACTTGAGTTCTCTTACAGTTTTTATTTTTTACTATAAAAAGTAATAAAACTTAATCTTACCAGCTTTTCTTAAAATGGTACAACTTGCATAAGAGAGTACAGCAGAGCTTCCTGAAAATTGTTGTATCAACATTAGCCCGATTCCTACCTGAGAAATTAATTTTCAAACAAACAAGTTCAATGTTTGTGTAGATAAATCTGGAAATTTATTATGTACTTATTTTGTAACATATATTTCACTGTACCACGAGAGTATATCTATACTTTCTCTGAAACAAATCACAAAAACTCGACTTTGAATCATTTTCTACTATTTTGGTCATTACCTCAAAATCAAACAAAAATCATTAAGAGTTTACATTGTTATATTTGTGAAGGAATGAATACATATTCTAACTACTTTTATATTTGATAATATCATATTATAAAAAAACTCACTTGAATGTCTGAGGCTTCACGTGAAATATCAGCATCTCTCCCTCTAAGCCGAAGCAGTGAATTTTCTAGTTCTTTATCTTTACCAACTTTTGCCTTCAAAAAGTAAAATAGTTTAGTTTCATTTTATTTCTTCTCATGGTTGATAAATTACGTAATGTGATATATATCTTATAAAAAAAATTTGACCAACCAGCCATCTTGGGGACTCTGGTACGAAGAATAAACCGATTACTTGAATGAAGCATGGTAAAGCACCTAAACCAGAAAAATGTATAGTTATAAGTTATTAAGATAATTTTTATACTCTAGTAATATAATAACTCAATCTATTCCACAATATTCCTGCTATTAATCATTTTTACCGTATCTAATTTAGTTTTTCTACAGTAAATATGAAATAACAGTTGTATTGTTAAAAATCCTACATTAGTAACATTTACCTAATAGAGCCAATGTCCTCCAGTTGAGAAAATTCCCAGAAAAATAAACCATGGCGAGTCCAGAGTTTTGAAGAAGCTAATAATCAATCACACCATAATCAAAACGGGTCAATACTCAAGAGAAAGCTAACAAGTATTATATAAAAGTTTACAAATACGGATTTCGCGTTAACATGTTAATCAATGATGAGACAAACTAAGTTGCTAAAAATTTTACAAAGTAATTCTACTAGAGATTTTTAACAAAAACCATATTTTCTGACGTTCTCTATAGTATATATGAAGATAGATATGTGACAATGAACTTTTGGGTTTTGAGATTATTATTTACTCAATTTTTGATGGAATATTTTTTTCTTATACTGTCGAGATCATTGACATGTCCCCACAGTTGGTTATTTTTTATTTAGTTCTAGCATAATTTGGTCACATGGGTGAGAGATTGGAAAAACGGCCAGAAAGAACCCCAACTATTTCTATGCGGTATTTTTGAATCCAAATTGAGGAAAAACAAAAAAAAACTTAAATTCTGACTTCTTGCACTTATCAACTTGAACTCACATAATTTTCAAATAACAAACTCGAATTCTATAACCGTAAGCCAATTTTAACACATACCCATTTTTAAATAATATAATAAACCTGAATTATGTATCTGTTAGCCAATTGAATAAAAAAAAATGATTCAGATACAAAAGAGCAGATAATTATGACGTAATAATTATAATCGATATTAACAAATATAAAAAAAGCTATCTTGAAATTAGAAGACGGTTACATAGTTCAAGTTTGATATTTGAAAATTGTGTGAATTCGGATTGATAAATGCAGGGGTTCAGAGTTTGGGTTGAAAAAAACCGCATGCAAATAGTTAGAGTTGATTTTGGCCGTTTTCCCGTGAAAAATACTATCAAATTAAAATCATTTTTTTGTCAAAATAAAACCAAATTTATTTTGAGTTTGGATATTTGGTTTGTCTTATTTAGTTTGTTTTATGCTCATAGTTTTTTTTTTCTTTTTTTTTGTCGGTGCTGATCCTTACATATTTTCTAGAACAAATATATTACCTGATTTGTAAAGGTAAATGTACCACGAACATGTTTTGGGGAAATTTCTGCTATATAGACAGGTACCTGTTCAGTAAATACCATGGAATTATTATAAAAATAGTTGTATATATAAATGATAAATAAATAAGAACATGTTAGTTGATATTAAATATAAAAATATTAGGTTAATTAACACATAGCTAATTAGGCCGAGTCCTATTCCTGAGGAGATTCTTCCGAAGTTCAACCACATCACATCCTTTTGTGTTCCAGACATAATATAAATGATCAATTAATTCTTGGGTTTTATGATAAACAGTTTGTTAATTTTTCTAAGTAATAATATTCTCAGTACAAACAATAAGTTTGTGGTAAGGAATATTTCAATACCTTAGCGAAAGCGATGGAAAACCAACCAATGATGATCGCCATTTTACCGCTAAACAAAGCACCAATTGCAGCTCCCAAAGTGGAGAATGAAGCAAATGCTGAAAACTGTTAAAAATATTAACTCAAAGATAAATTGCAGAAGTTGAGTTAAATCCTTTTTTTTTAATTGCTATATTTATTGCAAATATTATAAAAACTAATGCATAGTATTAGTATGTCATCTATCTTTTGAATGTTATTCATACCAATAAAAAAATGTTTTTGGTGTATTTCATTTTTCATATCTTAAATAAATAACTATATTCAAAACGTCTATTATTGTAGGTGTTCATTAATTCTTCCATGATAGGTATATATGTACTATTTCTTTGGATGAGATCACAACTCCATATATGTACGCATATGTTGTTTTCGTAAGGTTACTATTATGATAAGAACTTCGAAAAAAGAGAAAAAATGGATGTGACCCCCACAAGCCACGAGCCAACCAAGTAAAATCACCTTCATTGAGATACCGACACTATATATTTTTCTTCATCAGAAATTATTATTTATTTCAATCTGAATGAATAAAGAAACAAATAATATGGAGTTTAAATAGATGTGAAGTTTAAAAAAAAAAAAAAAAAAAAAATAGATGCACTTGTTTACATATAACCATCAATGTGTCTCTTCGCCATCTACATATATATATAAAAAAACTTAATATAAACAACTTGTAAAGACTTGATTAATTTAATATATGTTGATGGAAAAAGAACAAAAGAGAGACATACTTGTGCGCTAGTAAGACCCAAGTCCTTCATAATTCCTATCTCAGCACCTGAAGTATAACCAAGCTGCCAAACAAAAAAAACAACAAAAACGTTTTTTTTTTTAACTTGTTTAAACCTTGAGAGGAGCTACCCTGAATTACTTGTTTCTTAGTTTGTAATATAAATAGCTTCCAAAAAACAAAAATGCAGTAGCTTAGTTAAATAGTAGTCGTCATTGGTTTTTTAATTTAGGTTAGAAAGACAATCTTTACATCCACTTTTCGCCGAATCTTTCCCGGTATCGCCGGGAAATTTCCTATATGAAACTATAGATGTATATAGGAATTGTAGAAAGCTCAAAATATAAGAGTTTTCTACCCGATCTTGGGTTTATTACTCTCTAGGAATATAGTGAATCTAAATCTGCCCTTTAAGTGGTTTTTAACTTTTGAACTTTTATGTGTTGCTTTGACAAAAAAAAAAAAAAACTTAATTATCCTTATATGTGGTTAGATCACCTCATCTGGTTGTATTTTTGTATTTAAGGTAAAATATATGTGGTTGTAATTATCCTTATAAAGTTTTTTCTTTCCCGATTAATATAATCAGTTTACAACAAAAAGAAAGAAAAAGTTCTGTTTACTATATAAGAAAAAAAAATAGCAAAGTAGAAATAGAATGATGAGGATAAGAAAGAAACTCACAGAGACACCAAAGGAGAAGGAGCCACACACAGCGACGAAAGTACTAAGGATAACACAAGCAGTAATACGACAATCTGAATCGTCGTTTTGATTCTTATGCTGCAAAAGCCTTTCCTCTATGCTTCTTTCTTTCTCCACCACCATCATTTTAACACATGCATGTAATGATAATTGATACGACACAATTTCTGGTAAATAAAACAGTGAGAGCTCGAGAAAGAGACAGAGAGATAGAGAGACAGAGAGGAGAGAGTGAAAGAGAGAATGCTCTGTTTGTCACAGTGGGATTCTAGAGGGACACATCACACATGGTTTTTTTTTTAATGGTTTTATGTTATGTCACAGTGTCGTACGTTTTTTTTTCCTTTTACCCAATCATAATTAATTATTTTGGTTTTCTAATCCAAAGGACAGGATAATTCCATTCCTTAATTAGTTTTTTGATTTTGTTTATACTTGGTTTTTGATTCAATGGGGAAAAAAATATACGCAAGGGGATGGATTAATTGGAATGCACATGTGTGAGAGGTTTTTTTTTAATCAAAGACATTTTGGGTCAGATCTTTATCCAATTAAGTTTTAATTGTTTTAGGAAATCAAAATACAGCTATTTTCAATTAGTATTCCATTTTATAACATGTTATAAATGATATTTTTTGTTTCATATTACATGATTTTAAATTTTATTTTGTTTTATGTTTTGTAACTGTTTGTATCGTAGAAAATATTTTTAACTATGGAGTGATTTGTTTCTAGTTATATGTTAGCATGTTTTTTTTAAAAAAAAAAAAATTAGTGTAATTTTTTAGTCTCAGTATTTTTAACTAAAATGTCTTATAAAAAGATAGTATCTCCGTAAAATCAAATCAAATCAAAACAAAATTTAATCAACTTCGAACTGGTCTAATGGTTAAATCCCTGGATTACTGAAAAAGTATGGTCTTTGGAGGTCAAGTGTTCGATCTGTGTTGGGAAGGGTCTATCCCGTGTTCAAAAAATCGCTAGGCGCTAGTCGGGCGGTGAGGGTGCGCCTAGCGCCTAGCAAGAAAATCGGGGATTACACGGGGATTAATCGGGGATTAGTTTTAGGGCTATTTAATATTTTAAAAACATATTAATCCATTATAATTAAGAAATTTATATAATATTATTTTAAAAATTGTATTAAACACATGAAAACAAGATTTTAATTTCAAATTTATGATTTTTATACAAATTACGAACATAAGTAGGACGTTTTGTAGATAAAAAAAAAAGTAAAAAAAAAAAAAAAAAAAAAAAAAAAAAAAAAAAAAAAAATTGGGCTAGGCGCCGTCTAGGCGGGCTAGGCGGCCGCCTAGGCGGTCTAGGCGGACGAAAAATCGGGTTTACGCGGGGTGTAATCAATAAACCGATTTCTTAAACCGATTATGCATTAAACCCATCGGTACAGCACCGCCTAGCGCCTAGGCGCCGATTAATCGGCCGCCTAGCCCGATTTTTAGAACAAGGGGTCTATCCTCTAAAGAATAGTTAAATTATATGGTCTATACTCCGCCTTAAGAATTATATGGACCCATAGGCCATGAACCTCCTAGTCATGAAAAATTAATATTAATTTAGAAGTAACTTTTGCTAAAAAAAAAAAAAAAAAAAAAAAAAAAAAACAAAATCAATCCTCTGATTAAAAAATGAAAAAAAAAATTAAAGAAATACTCATAAAACCGCTTTTCAAAAATACCTTTAAATTTCTCGTGAATTCGGGACATGTATATTTTTCATACTCAAGGCAACATGGCAACATCAGTAGACACATAGGTTAACCAAGTTTCTAGTTCTTTCCGTCACATTCATCGTGATAACAAACTACCCGTTGATAGTACACGACCATATGATGCAATTTTGCACCTACGTGCATGTCGTTATGACCTTATACTTTTTTTTGGGGTACACAATATGACCTTATACATAGCCCTGGGGTATTGCAGAAGATCAACCAAAAGCAGCGTGTCATATCTCAAAGACATAGAAAAACCAATCTTACATGTGGGTTTAATTTCAATCATTACAATTTGTACTAATTAATCTTAACTCAACCCAATTGCATTCAGGTGTTTGTCTTGTTAAGATAAAATGTTACTAGTGATGAATCGAGCCAATATATGTTTGTTTTTGAATTATCTTTGTGGTTTCCATGCGTATCCAATTAATATTAGTCATCAACTAACAACCCTAACAAAATTGTCGAATCAAACTTACCATATTACATCAGCATGCATGATGCATGGTAGTCCACAAATGTTATCCAATGTTAAATCAAAATTCTGAGATATCACGTTAATTACTGTAAATCTATTTGTGTTAGCCCTACAAGTGTACTAATTAATATTAAACAATATTAGGATTTACCAGTTTAGATTAATTAAGGGAGATTGACACAAATAGCCCCAAAAAAGTTGTTTTTTTTCCAAAAATAGCACCTCATTTGAAAAGTTCCACAAATAGCACCATAAACTTTAATTTAACTTAATGAAAATATAAGATAGAAAATAAAAAAGAGAGCAAACACTAATCTAATATTAAATTGAATCAAAATTGTTTTTAAATATTGGAAATATATACCCTAATTTGGAAATAGGGAACCCAAATATAATACCACAAACTAATATTAAAATAAAAATCTCTTTTAAATGGTGGAAATATATACCCTAAATTGGATATAGGAAACCCAAATATAATACCATAAACTAATATTAAAATGAATCAAAATCTCTTTTAAATGGTGGAAATATATACCCTAAATTAGAAATAGAGAACCCAAATATAATATTTTAAATTTATTTCTAATTTATTTTGTTGAATAGCTTTTATATAAAAATTGTGGTATTATTGAAAATAAAACTAGTGATAAAATTTTTAGAACAAAAATGCTAATAGTAAGTTAACTAGTGCTATTTTTGGAAATTTATGGAGTGTGTGCTATTATTGTCAATAAAACTTATTTTAGGGCTATTTTTAGGAATTTCTCATTAATTAATCGCATGTTTTTTTGTTTACCATTACCGTAGTTACCTAATACTCGAAATCATCTTCTCTAATTTTTTCTTAAGTAAAAAAAATATTACATTTGCAATCTCAGAGATAAATACAAATGTACATAGGCCATGTTTTACATCTCGTCAAAATGCATAAAAAGGGGACTAAGTATCCGGAAAACTAAAATAGTAATTACATTATGAAAAAGAAAAAGTAAAATCTTCTTTGTATATGAACATATATATAACACCATTTTTTATCAAAAAGAATATATATAACACCATTTTTGATAATTTTTATATTAAAATAAAATATTTTAAATTATGTTTGATTTCTTTAGTCGGGCTGATGAACAAGCGAAACTTGTATTTCTTCAAGTGATAATCCTTTCGTTTCTGGAACGAGCAACCATATAAAAAGCAACGCTGCTCCGCCGATACCCCCGAATATGAAAAATGTTCCTATTACATTAATAAAAGTTATATAAGAAAATTATCTATTAAAATCAACTGTAATATATATATACACATTAGAATGTAATTAATTTAGCTCCACAATTATAACATATTCTTCCAAACCAATATCCAACTAATTAGTTTAGTCCGAAATAAAAACAAATTGTTGCGTTATGAGGTTTTATAAGAATGCGATAAATACAGATTTTGAAAACTAGTTTTCTAGACTTAATCATTGATTTGATCTTCCTTTGTTGCCTAGATAATTTATAACCTAATTAAGAAAATTTGTATAAAATGAATAAATAGGTTAACAAAAAAAAAAAAAAGATACCTTGAGTGCTCCACTCGAACAGAAAGTTGAAAGCGTAAGTGACAATTGAACTACTAGAAAATGAGACCAACGTAACTATACTTCCTGCGGTTACTTTTATATTTATTGGAAATATCTGCACACACCAAAAATCATACATATATTACTTCATTAGACATATTACTTATTTTCTGCATTGAAAATAAAAAGTTGATATTATGAAAAATTAAAGTAGAGCTAATTTACGTACCTCCGACATAATTACCCAAGGGAGACCTCCCAAGCCTATTGCATAAGTTGCAATATACAGCTGCCGATAATAAAAATTCATTTTTAATTATGTTTTATTTGTAAAAGAGACATCAACGTAAATATTAAATAATTTTCATTAAACTTACCATAACGCATATAAATGTTAATACTGGAGTTAGTTCCGAAAGCAATTGCATTTTCTGCTCATACCAAACAAGTAAAAACATTGTTAAACAAATAAGTTATTGGGTTAAAGACAGAATAAATAAATAACAATAGTAATGATTTTTTTAAAAAGTTTAAATAACCTGTAATGTGAAGGCGACCCCAAGAAGCATGCAAGTCATGCTCATCCCAAACGCAGAAGTCTATGTCAAAAATAGTAATCAAATCAATATTAGACTAACAGATTGGGTTTTTTTTTTTGGGGGTTAAATTTATTTATTTTTTATTTTTTTGGGGGTTAAATTTATTAATAGAGTGTTTTGTAACTAAAAATAAAGTCGTGCTTACCAACAAGAGAGGTCGTCTGCCCCATTTATCGACAAGAATGAGACCAATCATGGCTTTTGGAATCTGCGAATAGCCACAAATCACCATTAAATGCTTGCTTACAACTTACAAGTTACAAGAGTTCAAAAGAAAAATTCTTAGTTTTTTTTTTTTTTTTGGATAAAGAGTTCATTAAAGTATGAAAACTGAACTTTTTTTTTTCAACTTCGAACTAAATGTCGATTAAAACGCGGGTTTCAAAAAACATAAAATGATTTCATAAATTTTGCATCTATATAGTCAAAAGAAAAATTTGACAAAAAAATCTATATACACTTACCACGAAGATACCTAACATTGTCGTTCCAATGGCCACCGAAAAACCTGTTTCAAGCCAGAACAAATTACTATGGAAATAAAAAAAATGGAAAGAGGAAACTCATGAATATTTACTATATATAAACTTTTTCTCCTAAAGTACTTAAAACGAGATAATGGCGTCATTTTACAAAATGAATAAACAAATTGATTAATTAGTAGAAGAAAATATAAGTATTTGTTTCAAGAAACAGTCTCAGAAAAACTGAAATTTCTATGCAAATACTTCACTTGCAGATTCAAATAGATTGTTGTATATGTTAGTGTGCGTTATATATATATATTTATTTATTTATTGTTATTGCTGACATTGTTATATAACATTAAAAATTAATAAAACTCAATCTTACCAGCTTTTCTAAAAATGGTACTTGCATAAGAGATTACAGCAGCACTTCCTGAGAATTGTTGTATCAACATTAGCCCGATTCCTACCTGAGATATTAATTATATTAACAATGAATGCTTGTGCATACAAATATGAAAATAGACAGTCATGAAATTAATTTTATGTACTTATTTTCCAACATACCACGAGTGTGTATCTATACTTTCTCTGAAACAAATCAGAAATACTCGACTTTGAATCATTTTCTACCAGTTTGGTCATAACCTGAAAACAACACAAAATCATTCACAATTTACATTTTTTTTTTATTGGTGAAGGAAGGAAATATATATTTTTCAAATAAAAAAGAAAAAAGGAATGAATATTTATTGAATACCATATAAATTATAACTGATAATATTATATAGTAAAACTCACTTGAATTTCCGAGGCTTCACGTGAAATATCAGCATCTCTCCCTCTAAGCCGAAGCAGTGAATTTTCTAGTTCTTTATCTGTACCAACTTTTGCCTTCAAAATTAAAATAGTTTGGTTTAATTTGATTTCTTCTCATGGTTGATAAATTACATAATGAATTTTTCTTTAGAAACAAAAAAATGACCAACCAGCCATCTTGGAGACTCTGGTACGAAGAATAAACCAATTACTTGAATGAAGCATGGTAAAGCACCTAAAACATATTATATTTTTATCAGCTGATTTGTTATAATATAACAGCTCAAGATTTTTCTGTTTTTTTTTTTCTGTTATTTAACATATTTTTACGTATCGAAACATCTCTTCCACGATGAATATAAAATTAATAGGTTTACCAAATAAAGCCAACGTCCTCCAATTGATGAAATTCCCACAAAAATAAATCATGGCGAGTCCAGCGTTTTGAAGAAGCTATAATCAATCACAAAAGAATGAAAAAAGGATCAATATACGAACTCACGAGGAAGCTAACAAAGTATATATAGTTTACATTTTTTTTTAAAGTTCCAGGTTTTTATATGAATTTCGATACTTTTTTCGGTTGGTGATCACTTTAACGAAATAGTTAACGATAAATAAAATGGAATCACTTAAAACAAAAAAAAAGTAATAAATACTCCCTTTGTTTCAATGTAATTGGTGTTTGAAGTTTTTTACACAAACTAAAAAACTAAATATATTATGTATTTTTTTTTATTATATGCCGTGCTAGAGGTGTGTGATGGTAAGGCAAAAATAATAAAAAAAAATTATAAAGCAAAAAAAATCTTAAAGCAAAATAATGTGGCCTAATAAAAAAAAATGTGTGGCCTAAAAATCAAAAAACAATTTGGTGGCTTTAGGCAAATGCCTTTTTGCCAACACTATAAGCACGGCGCTAAATCCCCACAATTACTTCATTTTTGTTTGGTTCTAGCGTAATTTGGTCATGTTGGTGAGGAAATTTATCAACTTAAAGCAAAACTTTATTTTAGTTTCGCTGGTTTGGTTATGCTTTTTCTTAATTTTTTGTCGGCACATCCTTATATATATTGTAAAACTAAAATATTACCTGGTTTGAAAACGTAAATGTACCACGAACATGTTTTGGCGTAATTTCTGCTATATAGACAGGTACCTGTTTGGTAGATAAGCAAAAATTAATTTATATATATTGAAAATAAATAAATACACAAACTTGTTAGGATATGATATATATTATAGTATATATATTTTTTGTGGATGTTAGGATATGATATTAAATAAATAAAAAACAAAAAATTAGCTGAAGTTAATAAGTTAATTACCACATAGCTCGTCAAGCCGAAACCTATCCCTGAAGTAATTCTTCCGAAGTTTAGCAACACCACTTCCTTTTGTGTTCCAAACACAACACAAATAATTTATTGAATTGTTGGGTTTATGATAACAATATATAAATTAAATGGTTTGTTTATTTAGTATGAAATAATATTTGTAGAAAAAAATATGTTTGTGAATAGAAGAAATAATTAGTACCTCAGCGAAAGCGATGGAGAGCCAACCAGTGATGCATAGGATATCGGAGACCCACATTGTCTTTTATATCATGAATAGCAAAAATGTTATTTGTAAGCATTATTAATTTTACGAATATGAAAAGTTAAATGGTTAAATTAATTACCCCTCTTCTGCCAATGACCATGGCCATTTTACCGCTGAACAGTGCACCAATTGCAGCTCCTAAAGTGGCGAATGAGCCAAACGCTGAAAACTGAGAAGAAAAAGAATTGATTAAAAAGAAATCTATTTTCCATTTATATATAATATTTCAATATTTCAAAACTTCTATTATTGTAGATGAGAGATCTGGCCGGAGATTGATTCTGGAATGATAGAATCATTGATGATAGATAGATATTGGTTTTTTGTATGATTTCGACAACTAACTCCATATATCATAATATTATACATATATTATTATATATATATGTATAGTTTTGGTAGGGTTATCATATTACACCCACAAACTAAAGTATAATAAACTCCTTGGGATATATATCTTCTTTATAATTGATGGTTGTTTATTTCAATCTGAATGAAAAAGAAAACAAATAATACGGATTTAAAAAAAGATGCGAAGCTTATACTGATAAAATTGGACGATAATTAATCTAGTTTTTTTTTTTTTGCATGTGTCACTCGTTCTCTGTTGCTTAATTATGCTTAAAACATTTTTTTGTTTGTTTAAGGTTTTTTTTTTTTTGGTTTAATGTTAAGAATGTTTGTTTAAGGTTATTATTATTAAATATTTTGTTTGTAGAAACAAGAAAAATGAGTAAAAGAGAGACATACTTGCGCGATAGAAAGATTTAAGTCCTTCACAACTCCTGTCTCAGCACCTGAAATATAACCAGTCTGTATAAAAAAAATCAAAAACTATAAGAAAATAGATAGAACGTAATTATGAAGTATTTTTTTTTATATAAAATTTTTTTTTTTCATTTTAATGAATTTTGTATTCAAAGAAAAAAAAAAAGAAAAGTAAGGAAAAGAAACTCACAGCAACACCAGAAGAGAAGGAGGAGCCACAAACGGCGACAAAAGTGCTAAAGATAACACAAGCAGTAATACGACACTCTGAATCGTCGTTTTGATTCTTGAGCTGCAAAAGCCCTTCTTCTATGCTTCTTTCTTCTTCCACCACCATCATTTACACTTGCATGTACTGATATGACACAACTTCTGGTAATCAAAACAGTGAGAGCTAGAGAAGGAATGCTCTCTGTTTTTAGCAAAAAACCAAGAGAGCTAGAGAGAGAAAAGAGAAAAGAGAGAAGAGAGAATGATGTGTTTTTTTTTTTTTTGAATGAATGATGTGTTTGTCAATATAGGCTACGTATAAAAGGAGGTTGCGACACTATCAGTCAATCAAAAATGTTATTTTGATTTTCTATTCTTTAACAATGGTTCTTAGGAGTATTAAAGTAATAACATGACATGTGGCTGGCTCTTAAGGTTAGTTTTGGGTCTTAGCTAAGATACTTTCTTAGTCTTTAACATGATTTGTCTTTACTTTTTGATCTAAGATTTACTTAAGAACTCTTTAAGACACCCTTGTTAATGGTGGTCTAGGGGTTTTGGATTGGAAAGCTACGTATGGACGTGAGACGTTTATTTAATAGGATCAAGTCAAATTTCATTAAACTAAGTTTTGTTGTTTCAAAAATATGAAAATACAGCTAAGTTTGACATTATTATGATTATATGATCATTCATCATTATCGGAATCTAAAATAGTTGGACGTATTCAAAATGTTAAATACTTTGAAAAATATTGACATATATCCTTTAACCAAAAAATGGTTATTTTGGTTTTCTACTCCTAAAAGGTTGGATTGGAAAGCCAACGCGTGAGACTTTTTTTTTCTTTCTAATAAGACTTGTTGTTGAGTCAAATTTCATTCAAAAAAAGTTTTGTTGTTGAAATAAGGAATAATATCACAATGGCATACTTTCTCAACTTCTATTTCATTATAACACACTTTTGTCTTTCAACTGTTTAAGTTTGGATGTTATTACCTAAACACCCTCGACTCATCCATTCCCCTTTCACCCTACACGAAACTCATCGACTCATCTTCTTCTTCCTCAAACAACAACAACAACAAAAAAGCTTCACTTTCTCTCGACCCTTCTCTCTCTCTCTCTCTCAAAGTCTCTCTCTTTGCCCCTCTTCGTCGCAATCCTCTACACTTGGGGCTGCGATTCTTCCAATCCTCCGATTTCAATTTTGAAATCATAGTTCGAAATCATCGAGCTTTACCTCCGATTTCAATTTTAATTGGGTCTCTGTGTTAGATTAAATTACTCATTTTTCTCAGCTTTTGTTTCATTTCCCGCAAACATACTTGAAGAATACATCAACAAATCTCTGAAATCTTTTGGGAAAATCTCATTAATTTATAGGTTAGTAGTTTCTTATTCTTAGATTCACTTTCCTTTGTTCTTTAATTCAAATCCTCTGTTTTTGGATTCTTTGAAATTCGAAAAAGATCTGATTTTTTGGTACTTTTGCTGATGCAGATTGATAAAAATGGCATTAGGGAAGAAGAGAATCGTTACCCAGAAGTCCAATTTGAGGCAACGTCGTGATGTGAATGATGGTCACTGAGAATTTTTGTTGATTAATGGTGTTTTCATTGAATGAGAGAGCCACGTGCTTTGTTTGGCCATGGTCTGTTGTTACGGAAGAAGCAAACCCTAATTCTATAGAGAATCCGATTGATCGATACCATGAGGAAGGTGATGATGCCGAAGAAGGAGAGATCGTCGGAGGAGATGGAGACGGAAACGTTGACGAATCGAGCAAATCCGCGGTTCCTCAATCGCATCCTTTAGAACATTCATGGACTTTCTGGTTCGATAATCCTTCTGTGAAATCGAAGCAAACCACTTGGGGAAGTTCCTTGCGACCCGTGTTCACGTTCTCCACTGTTGAGGAATTTTGGAGGTTAGGTTTTTTATTTTTGTTCCGACTCTGTATCTGGTTTGTTCAATGATTCTGCATCTGGGTTTTGTTTAGATTTCGATTTCTGGAGGAAATTTATGTTCTTTATTGGTGGATTAGTAGATTTCATTGAAGTCATTGTTCTTATAGGTTTCTGATGAATTGCTCTGTTTGTTAAAGCTTATGTTAAGGTTTATGGTAGATAGCTTAGATCTTTTGTTCACTTGTTTGCTTCAGATGAACTTAACATTGAACCAAATGTTCGGAAAGTATTGTAGAAGAGCAAAGTTTGTGAGAGAAAGATATGAGAACATTGAAATCATCAAATCGTTCTTAGTGATTTTCTAGGTATTAGAATATGTATTGTGAAGCTCTTCCTCATGAGATTCTTTGGTTTGTGTATTGTTCTTTCGACTTCTTATTTTGAAAAACGTTTTGCTTTGCTTTGCAGTTTGTACAATAACATGAAGCATCCGAGCAAGTTAGCTCATGGAGTTAGATTTGGAGTTTTGGGTAGTGGTTGATGTGATTTGATTGATCTATTGGTAGTTGTTGAGAATTTGTGCTCTGATACAAAAGATTGACATGAGTGATGTTCTTGTCCTGATGAACTATATTTTTTATTTTAACTTAAGAAGCAATGAAAATACCCGAAAGTAGGAGTTAACTTAAGAAGCAATGGACAAACTTAGTGAACTATATTTTTGATTTTTTGCGACCATGTGTTCCAATTATGATTTACTTATTCATTATTATCCGTGGAAGCCGAAAAATGGACATATATTTTTTACTAAGTAAAAGTCCAGTCCATATGAATTTTCTTGGTTTGAACTTAACAATTATGTTATTTTCTTGATTAATTCTGTTTATGGTCATATCCTAATGGACGCCGATAAATTAAAAAATGTCAACGTATATGGTCACGTCCACATGGATATTGATAATACATTTTTCATGTGGTCAACTAGTAACTCACACCGGCTTGAAAAACTAAATGGATTCGAACAATAGATTAGGATTTAGTGTTTTAGTGTAACAGTTAACGATATATGTATCAATATGAAACGACTACTTGGCATGAATCACATGATGACCATATCGACAACACCACTTTAAAAGTTACATATCGATTTGCTAACTCACTCACCGCCTAAATATGTGTGAACGTATTAGCTTATGGATATGAAGAAAAACAGAGATGGCTTACTTGTAGTTAACCCGAGATAGAGATGATACGCTTGCGTATTTCGATTACGTTTTATAAAGCATTGAACTAGAGAATCCATTGGACCATGCTGCATAAAACATTTTCAAAAGCATCAATTAGAAACTGTTATCAAAGAGTCTAAAAGCTTTCGTTAAGCATAAGAACACTTAAAACGTCAAATGAGATCATGTGAATCAATTCCTACGCACCATGAGCATCACAATATAGTAGCCACTAAACGCAAACGGACGAAGTTAGATATCGGTTTGAGTTTAGCGGATATGCTTGGATGATCGTTTAGCTTGAAATGTTTGTATAGTAGTTTGTTCAAGTATTCGTGGACATTGTCTAGTTGGATGAGTTTGCTTATAAATATATTAATTTTAACCATGTGTTCAGTGTTTAATGGTCAGATAACAAAAAAACATGTCGAATAGTAAAATATGAACAACAGACTTGACCAGTATTTGGCGGATGTATAGTCTACCGAGAAACTTTGTCCTTATTCATCTATGTGGTTAAGTGTTTAGTGTTTAGGTTTTAGGTTAGTGTTTTAGGGTTTATGGGTGATGGTTTTAGGGAAGGGGTTAGGGTCTGTTTTGGTTTATTATGTATGGATTAGGGTATATTGTTTTATACATTTAAACGAATTTATATATCGGTTGGGGTTTATAAGGTCGGGGTTAGGATATATTTTTATACATTTAAACGAACTTACATATTGGTTTAGATTTATAAGGTAGGGATTAGGGTTTACTGTTATACATTTAAACGAAGTTTCATATCAGTTTGGGTTTATGAGGTATGCTAAAGTGTCACTTACCCTTAGAAAAAATCAATCAAATGGTAAAATTAGTATTTTTGCTTCTTAATTATGTGAAAAAAAACTTTGTATTGACGATTATCCTTCTTGAATAAAGTTGTGTATTGATATGTTTGGATGGTCACTAATTGGTGTTCACTTAGAATCGAAATATATTTTAAAACGGATGAACGTGGATGAATGACAATTGGAATTGTCAGGTATATAATCAAAAGTTTTTTAAAACACCAAAAACATATGTTCGAACGCTAATGAGTGGATTCTCTTGCTTGGCTCTTTATTAGAGTTTGCATGGACACCTTGTTTGGACACTTATCACTTTTTTTGGTTAAAATATATTGTATACTTTTGAGTTTTGGTTCACGGTTTAAAATATAATGTAAGATTTAGTAGGTAGGGGTAGTAAAATATGAACAATAAACACTTAATCAGAGTTTGGCAGATGTATAATTCTCCGAGAAATTTTATCCTTATTCATCCATGTAGTCAGAGTTAATGGATATATTTGGATGATCGTTAGTTAGAAATGTTGGTGTAGTAGGTTTGTTCATGTATCTGTGGACATTGTTGGTGTAGTATCTAGTATGTTTGTTCAAGTATCCTTGAACATCCATTTAATAATAAACAAATGTTCAATAGTAAATGGATAACATGTAATATAATTATTCACTTAAAATATAGCAACAATGGATCTTAAAATGTAGGAAAAATTAAATCTTAATTTATTATATAAAAAAAAATTAATATATGTGATTTTAAGTAACTAAAGTGATAATAAAGAGAGAATGAAAGAAAAAAGCAAAAAAAAAAAGAAAAAAAAAAAGAGAAAAACTAATGACGAGGAAGGAGGAAAAGAGTGTTTGCAACTTGATAAAGCCAACTTACTCTTTCCAATTTAATCAGGTTCGTTCACGAGTATTGCCAATAGTAGGGGCAAAGTTGTATTGATTTAATTGGGTTGGCTGATTTTATAGCCATAAACTAGTTGCATTCTCAGCTTTTCCCCCCAACCTTTTTGCCCCTGAAAATTCCACCATAAACTTAGATAATTCTCACAATTGCAACATGTACTTTCGGATTCATCCTTAAAACTACGCCTCCAATTGAACCGGCCAATAAACCGGTACCACATAACCCGGTTTGATTTAATTCAAATTTAACCAAATTTTAACCCGATTTTGACCCGAATCTTATTCTTCTTCACCCGATTTTGAAGAAGAAGCCGAGGTTCCTGGTCTCCTCGCCGCCATCGACGGAGTCAACAAGGTGGGAAGGATTATTCGATTGAGCTGAGGAAGAAGGGAGAAGATGTAAACGAGGTACGCGTGGACCAAATGGTGGTGGAGGAAGAAAAAAAAATTTGGTCAAAATCGGGTGAAGAGGAAGAAGAAAATTTTGGTCAAAATCAGGTTTAAATTTGGTTAAATTTGAATTAAATCAAACCAGGTTATGTGGTACCGGTTTATTGGCCGGTTCAATTGGAGGCGTAGTTTTAAGGATGAATCCGAAAGTACATGTTGCAATTGTGAGAATTATCTAAGTTTATGGTGAAATTTTCAGGGGCAAAAAGGTTGGGGGGAAAAGCTGAGAACGCAACTAGTTTATGGCTATAAAATCAGCCAACCCGATTTAATTTGTACAGTTAAAAAAAGTTGAAAAACTAAAAAAGTGTGTTATAGTGAAAGAGAAGTTGAGAAAGTGTGTTAGAGTGAAATTCTCCCTTGAAATAAATATAGGAATAATATCACTCTAGCATACTTTCTCAACTTTTCTTTCACAATAACACACTTTCATCTTTTAACTCTTCTTTCTGTGTTTTTACCTAAACACCCTCAAACAAACCATTCCCCTATCACCCCCACAGTTACCCATCACCTCAAACAAACCATTCCTCTCTCTTCTCTCCGTCGTTGCCATGGCTTGCGCCGAGCAGCCCATCAAAAAGCGCCGGCTGTATGAGCTTATCTTCCCAGCCTCTCTCAATTCATCACTTTTCTCTACAAAGGACTGGTGCGAAGGAACATTCGTACCTTCAAACACGACAAGGAGCTTGAGAATGGCCGGAAGATTTCGCCGAAGCTCAAACGCGCCATCGAGGAGTCAAAATTCGCCGTCGTTGTGGTCTCCGTCAACTACGCTGCGTCTCCTTGGTGTCTCGATGAGCTCGTGAAGATCATGGATTTCGAAAACAAGTGTTCGATCTCTTTGATGCCTATCTTCTACGTCGTGGATCCGTGTCATTTGAGAAGGCAGAGTGGAGATGTCGTTGAACAGTTTAAGAAGCACGAGGCTAGAGAAGAAGATCTTGATAAAGTAGGAGACAAGGGAGGAAAGTAGAGAGGTGGAAAGGGAAGGTGATGATTATTTTGTTTATTTTAAAAGAGGAAAAAGAGAAGCTGTAGAGGATCATTTCTTTGTCATGTCCAATTTTCATGGAGATCTTAAACATGTAAATTCAATTTCTCTATTGTAATTTTTCCATATTTTGGTTTAGAATTAAGATAAATTGGAGAAACACAGCGAGGGATTGGTCGGCGCCGTCATTGGCTGTAACGAATGAAGAAATTGATCCTTCGATGTGAGCAAATTATGATATGTTCTACATATTTCAGACTAGATTTTTGTTCTGAAAATTTTAGAAATCCGAAAATCATATATCTAAAATATTTAGAATATGCATTCTACGTTTTGCTCTATGTTCTAAATATTTTTGAATAGCCGTTCTAATAATTTCTACATCTTCTGCCATCGTTAGAAATTGTAATCTTCTTTTAGAATGCAAATTCTACAATATTGTAGATTTGGTTTTCTAAAATTTTTAGAATTCTCTAAATATAAAAAGTAAATCTTCAGAAAAAGAAACTAAATATTTATTGTAGATTACGTTTTAAATGAATATTAATTGTTTAAATTACGATATACATAATTTAGAAATCGTTGTCTCCGTTTTTTAAAAAAAGTTAAAACCAAAAACGTTTCTAAACCCTAAGCTAAGCCATCGTTTGATCTTCCTTCCTTCAAATTGTGATCAAATTCTCAAAAATCTTATTTCTTCAACAAGATTGCTTGATAGAAGAAAGTGAGATAGTATTTATTATACATGTGTAGCAATGTTTGTATAATATAAGAAAAAATGATTGAATTGAGAAAAAAAAATCGTATAATAGATCCGTGAGATGCTGGAGGAGATTAGCTCTAAAACTTGCAGAAATTTAAAGGGTCGATGGAGAGAAAAGAGAATGAAAACACACTCATTATTAATTAACGTTTTCTCTTCAGTTATGTTGAAAGAATTAAACTTTACTACAAATGTAGTATTGACTTAGTTATTAATATTAGTGTTGGCTATTACTAGTTAACGAGTTGGGACGTTGAGCAATACAAATCACAAGCTTTTAACATTTGCAATTAAAATTTGAGTCTTCACGACGTTATTATTAGAATATATAATCAATAGATTCTTAACTTTCTTTTTAGCCTAAGGATCAATTTTATAGTCATCATTATAATCAAACAACTTATCGTGATGACCTCCCATTAAAAAAAGAAGATAAGTTGTTTGATTATAATGATGACTGTAAAATAGATGTCGTTTGATTATAATGATGACTATTAAAAAACCATACAAACACAAAACAAAATTATATAAATAGATGTCGCTCAGCTCAATTAGGAAGTTTTATTTTTTTTAATAAATTTTTGAGAGAAAATGAGGGTAAATTTGGGTTTTGAAATTTATAAAACCTATTTGACCAATCTACAAAATTATGGTATATTTGGACAAATTTTTAAGTAGATATCCTTTATATCCAATTTTCCCTAGTACTAATTTAAGTATTCTCTAAAATTTTGTATAAACAAATTTAATCCAAAATCTGATAGACAGAAACTAGTTAGAATCCAACAGATTATCTGACAATTAATCCATAATTGTATACTACTATAAAAAAAATACTTGGGATTTTAAAACCACTAACTACATCAATTAATTATCGAAATAGATTAAAATAGATTTGACTTTTGGACCATTAAATAGAGAAACAACTTACTTGCCTTAAATTCTCTTCAAAATCCTGAAACTATGATCTAATCCATATTATCCCCAATAATTGTCCACTACTTGTTTGACTTTTGGTGCTTCTTTCGAAATTGACAATTTGTTTATGCAGTTGAACAAATCTAATTTGGACAAGCAAGTTAGCTTTTTTTTTTGATAACCCAGTATCCAGACCACACAGTGATCTGATTAGCCCACTGGGCCTAAGCCCGCGTCACAGGGATTTTTAAGCCTCCACTTAAGGGCCCCCTGATAAACTGGTGGTCTGGGGCGCCTGAGCAAGTCCGCAGGTAAATTCCCAGGTGGCCACAGGAGTGAGAGAGCGAAACTGCGTCTGGGGAGGATCGATCCCTGGCCTAGACCAACAGGGCGATCCTTCCAACCAAACGAGAACCACTCGCCCACCACCATGTGGTTGCAAGTTAGCTTTCGTGGATAGGGATTCATGAATTTTGTTAGGTATGAAGTTCCAAAATTTTTAGACTAGTCCCATATCATCACACATGATTTCTTATGTTGTGCTGTAGAAAAGTTTTACCGTTTTAATGTAAAACAATTCATTTGAAAATAAATAGTCTATTACTCTCTCCGTTTCATATTAAGTGTCATATTAGCCTTTGAATTTTGTTTTAAAATAAGTGTCGTTTTGTGTTTTCAATGCAGATATTTGGTAAAATTTCTAGTTTTGTCCTTACTAATTTAATGTATTGACCAATGAAAAAATAATAAAATATATAGATAATAGGTAAAACAGAAAATTTAATTGTTTTCTTAATATTTGTGTAAAAACGACATTTATTTTAACACAGAGGGAGTAAGTATTAACACAACCCCAGTTCAATTCAGAAAATAGACTATCTCTCTTCCACAGCCCATGTATATGGCATATATATTGTGATGTGTACTGCCGACAAAATAAAAGTTTGAATTGATGCCTCATTTCATGTTTTACTTGTGTTTTAATTTCCACCAAACTAGAGTTCTACTTCTCTCATGTTTTAAAATATTCGGAGGATACCAACTTAGATCATTGTAAACTTTGTCATTCATTCTTTTGTATAAAACACCGAATTTCGACCATTGTTTTAAAATATAATCACATAATTTTAGCAAGAATTTTAAGAAATCACCAATTTGGATTTTGAAATTAATTAAAACATTATGTTTAAAGTTGTTAAAAGTATAGTTTTATGAAAAATATTTGTAAATAACTAAGTTTTGGCGACTAACGATTTGAATAACTTTTCTTGTTTGTAAAAACAGAAACACATATTCATGAAAACGTAAGAAAATAAAACATTAGTTTCAAAAAACAAATAAAATCGATCGATAAGTTAAATTTACCTACTATAAATCACATGAAATTGTAGCATATATCTCCAAAAACTACATAATTTTTTTCAATGTAATATTAAATTATATTCAAGAAAAAATAACGTTTTGGTACATCTTATACAAATTATTCTGAAAATATTTGAAAGTTAAGAGAACAAGAGATTGAATTTAGCTTCTAGAAACAAACCAAGCCCGGATCATTGAGAGTTGGTTTCGAATAGTCTTATCCATCCAAATGATGAGTTGTGCTGCCGGAGTTGGTTTTTCACCGTGTCTCCTCCCGTTTTGCTCCCGCCATATCGTATGCACCGCTATTTGGAGGTAGTACTGTACTAGAAAGGTGTGAAAAACTACATGGTTTGTATAATCAGTTTACTAATACTTTCATAGAAAAGTATACAAAAATTACATAAACTCTGTCGAAAATTGATAAATATTTCTAAACTTGACGTAACACTTAAGAATTCCTAATTATAAAAGTTTGTATAAATTCAAATAATTGTATCGCATAGGGCTTCGTGAGATTGCTAGTAATTTGCCACCTTGTGTGTGTCCTCGCTTCTTTGGCATTTAGGATTCACAATTCTTATTCTAATCGCAAAAGTTATAATATATATAGAATCTTTTTTCAAATATATAAAAGAAATCACTATGATAAAATGGTAGATGCGAAGGGAGTCACGTAATCAAAGAAGGGCTAGCAGTAGCACTCTCCGACCCACGTTTTTGGTCCCCACGTTAATCATTAAATTTCTCAGAATAGAAATTATTTTGGTTCTATGCATATTTATGGATCGAACTTAAAGTTAAGACAAGACTGTTTAGTGGAAAACAGAAGAAGTTTTAGGACTAATTATAATTAGGGGAGTTTTTAACTATCATATGATTTTTTGTTGTAGAAGAGGACAAGTATGACCCGCTAGAAATAAAAAATTATTAGCTCTTTAACAAAAAAAAAAAACTTATTAGCTAGTCAACTAAACCATATGCTTATTGAGTAAAATCAATACAATAAAAACACTAAGAGTCTCTCAATGTTTGACACCTCAGCTTTTTTGTGCATCTTGGAGCTGACACATCAGTTAAATGATTTCACCAATCAAAATATAACAAATAATACAGCTCATCTTAAAATTTGTCACGCTGGACACATAATAGTGTTCTTTTCTCCGGGATGATAAACACGACCAGAGACTTTGATTTGAGATTAAGAGCCAGAGCCAGAGCCAAAGCTAATGTCTAGAAACGCAATTGTCTTCCCTCCTATTCATCTTCTTCTATATATGTGACGAAGACGGACAAACTTTGCAAATTCTGGGTCGTGAATGGTAAATACGAATCTATTCTTTGCTGTTTTGTACTCTAAATCTTCTGAAATTGACTTTCGGGTTTTTCATCCCTTAGTTTATCTTGAATTAGGTCCAGTTCATCTAAGTCCATAGACTTCCAAAAAATTCGTAAGAGTTTTACTGTGGTGAATTTGCTTTTAACATCAATTCGATTAAATTTCCAATTTGTCTCAACTTTTGCAGTTTATGAACCTCTCTGCATAAGGAACTCAAGGAGCAATCAATCCTCCTCTACGCATGCCGTAATTGTGATCCCCAAGTAATCTTAGTTATGTTTGCTTTTATAAAATTAGGGTTCCATAGTGTTAAATTGTTAATGGCACATTGTGGTGTTGAATCGGTGAATGATATTAGACCTCTATCGTCTTGATAAAAAGCTATGGCTGAAACTAATATACTTTAATTTCTGTGGAAATTTATTTAAGCTTTGATTGTTGTTTGAGAAACTGATGGTTACTCTTTATCAATCTCTTTTACGGTTAAGGGTCGATTGTAAGAACTTGACATTAAGCCAAGCAGTGAGAATTTTAACTAATTTAGACCCACAAATCAGCTCATTGTCCTTGTCTCAGATCATGAATCTCATTAGTTAAGATAATGCTTATCTGTACAAAGATTTCTGAGAGACTTTAAAACCCTTATATTTACAGGTAAAGCTTTTTCTGTTCTCAAATTTCTATCTTGATTTTAAAATTTCCCAAGCTCATTCATGATCCAACCAGACAGAGACAGTGATGGGTATTTTTTCATGATTGATATTTATTATTATTAAGAAGATATATAGTTTGTTAGAGTATTTTTTTTTATCTTATATACGAAATAATGGCTTTTAATACATTGTTGTTTAGCTTACCATGATTCCAATTCACCTCTCGATTAGCAACTCATATGTACAAATGAGATTACGCTTAGTTTGATTGCGTGGTCGTGATGGACACCACACGAAAGTGAATATTGTTCATTTACCAGTGAAACTTTTCAGAGTTGCAGAGTTGTTCAAGCTTAATATTGCAGAGTTGTTCTATCTTACAAAGTTACCTTGCAGGAAAGTGAGAAAGTTGGTCTTTGAGACTGAACGTTCTCTCGAAATCTATTCTTTGCTATTGACTCGTGGATAACATCTAACTGTTGCATCAACATCCATGATTAACTGTCAACTTTTGTTTCTCTTGAGATAGATGTTAAGGAAGTTCGTGGGGTTGGGCTTCAGGTCTCTAAGCTTGACAGTGTTGATCCTTCTAATAAAGGTTAGTTCTGGGGAAATTAAACTCTAGGGTTCACTATGATTTGGTACATATAAAATTGTAGATCATTCTACTTTATGAAATTTCCAATGCATGTCTGCTAAACATTCCGGAAAAAAAGTGATTCAAACATTGTAGTCTCTCCCTATTTGTTCATACTTGTTTCCTTTGTTTTCAAGGTTCAAGGACTCCGAAATCATGGCTCAGCTCTGCACCTGCCTCTGTCCAAATAGAACGAGATGACAATGTTTTTGCTGCAGTAGTTAGGGAAAACTCAGGTAAATAAATGTTCTGTTAGTGTCCAAAATTAGGAATATAAAGAACGGTATGTGCCGCATCCTTCCATTGCTAGGACGTCTAATCATCGTACAATAGAAATGACTGATTTGATACCTTCATTCCTTAGTCAAGTCGACGTCTCTGTGTTACAAGAATTACCTGAAGAGTTGGGAGCATTGGAGCATTTCCTGCCCACAAAGGACAACATTCGTTCATCAGATGTTCCCATTGAGACTATTAAGAAACAGGATGAGGAGTCGATAGATATAAAGGACACTAAGAATGAGAGTGGATTCTCATGTAGCTCTCTCTGGTTTGGGAATCCTCCTCTTTGGACAGAGAAGTTCAAACTTAGTGGCAATTGTACTTTGGAAAAACTTTCAGAGATATACTACAAGGAACAAGGATTCATCTTAGTTATCCTTCCTGGTTAACTTGTCTTTAAACAAAAGTTTATTTTCTTAAGGAACAAGGATTTACAGAATTCATTTAAAAAAAATATTAGAAACTCAATTTAGAATAAACGAAAAGTGTTTAAGCTACTGAGATTTTCTACTCAAGAAGGGTATGTATCAAATTAGTAAGCTGTTATACAAGATATATATTTGAGATGAAATTCAAAGTTTAGGAGGAATCAATTGAATGGAATATTGATGTAGAAGTGTGGCAAAAAAGTTTGGTTCGTGAAATGAAAAACATCTGCTTCCCTAACAGAAGCAAAAACAACAAACGAGACACAAAAACAACAAAAAAGAATCTCACAAGAACTGATCAAGATTGTATATCTTATGGTAGACATCTTTATTTTTATTTTCTCTGATTATCTCTCTTTATCTCTCAAGTTGTTCTTTAGAGCGAATGACAAAGGAAAACGAGAAGTTGTACAAGAAAGCTACATCTATAGCGATAAGCAATGATAAGAATCCGGGAGGGTAACAATTCAAGTGAACCATCCTACATTATTTTGTCAGCTATTATTTGACAGAATATTTTATAGTTAGTTTTCTCAACATCTTTTAAGAATGCTTACTTGTATATATATACAATATTACAACATTGGAAATTAAATAAACCCAATGTAGATTCAAACATGACATCTAACAAATATAAACAAAAAATAAAAGTAACGAAAAAAGTCCGCGGCGTAGAGAAGGATGAGACGATCTCAAGACTAAAGGCTAAGATCGATAAAATGGAGACGAATTCTAATCAAGAGAAGATGGAGACGAATTCTAATGGAGAGGCTATGATTGCGGCACCGTATGATCACCATTCCGTAAGTGTCTAATCAAGAGAAGGATGAGACCATCTCAAGATTAAAGGTTAAGATCGCTGAAATGGAGGCGAATTCTATTAAAAAAGATGATGAAATCTCAAAACTCTCACGTGTTATTACAATGTGTTACAAAAATCTCAAACAATTTTTTCAAAAATGCTAGGTACACATGTGTTTGATTTAAGAAAGTTTTCAAACAATACTTATTACAAATTATTTTTCTACTAAAAAAAAGTTATCTAAAAAAATACCCCGCAGCGTAGCGCGGGTTTCGTCCTAGTCAATACAATAATAACATCTTCTTTCTCTCCAGCGCTGACACATCAGATTTTTCAGATGTTCTCAGCTTGACACATCAGTAAAAATCTTTGTCCAATAAAATTATAACAATTAATACAGCTCAGCACTTCTTTGTTCCACGTCACCTTATCTCTCTCCTCGGAATCCCTAGGTGCGCTAGAAAACTAGAAGCTTTCAACTTCTTTCTCGAATCGAAGATTAAAGATGCAGAAGAAGAAGAAGAATTCGATCAGAAGAGCTTGATCGAGAACACACTTAATTCTATATGTACTTTCTCCGACGACATAATATCTTGCAAGGTTAGTATTCGATCCCACCTTCTTTGTATTTAAGAGAACCAAATATACGAAAAATGGATTTATGGATCTCGAAAAGCCATGGCTAAGTTGAACTGTCAACAATGGCGACCTAACTTTTCTAATTCCAGAAATTTAGCAACTTTAAGCTTCCTCCTCCTTTTATTCAATTACATTACCATCAATAACATTTATGATCTTGGAAAAATAGTTCTTTACAGAGTGTCTTACTTGCTATCCCGACTCAATTTTGTTTATACATACACATTGCATTGCAGATAAAACCACCATCTTTTACTCAGATACTTTCTTGTAGGCATTGGAGGCTCGACTATTGGACCTCAATTTGTTGTTGAGGCCTTGGCTCTTGATGATCATCCGTTGAAGGTATCTCAAACTGTTCTAATTTCAGTCAACATAGCATTACCGTACTTTTAACACCCCTTTTATCTTTGCCTCTTTGAAGGATCTCATGCCTTCTATTTTTTTATGATCTAAAGTGTCTAATTTGTTGTGTACGGTTTTGCCTGCTTTATGACTGTTGATAGATAAGATTCATTGACAACACCGACCCTGCTGGAATTAGATTGCACAACTTGGGCCAGAGCTTGCCTCGACTTTAGTAATTGTCATCTCAAAGGTGTGTCTTATATATCGTTGTTTACACATGCTGTTTTATATGATGGTTGGTCCTGATATTGGCGAGCATGACTTAGTAGTTTACGTGTTTCTTCGAGTGAAGGTACTCCTGAACCTAGAAATGGACTTTTGGAATTGCAGAAAGCATTCTTGTCTAAAAACGATGAGCTTGTCATTCTCGGGATAGTTAGTAAATTCTCTGCAGGTTCTCTAAGTTTATTTATATTCTCCTTTATTCTCTTTTACCTTTTTACTTTTGTTTGTTTGTTTGTAAAGGAGTATTGTGGACTATGAAAATGAAACGAAATTGAGCTATAGATCTTACTGGAATGCCTTTTACCATTATATCAAAGATTATGTAGAAGCAAAGTTTTCAAAAAAACAGCTCATTGATAAGGTCAAGAGTTTGAAGTGAAAGTTTACATATAATAAGGGGAGATCTAACGATGGGAAAGAAGTTTCTTTTACTAATACTGATGATGATTAAATCTTCAAATTGTCAATGATCATATGGGACAAAGATGAAACAGAGTATGTTTCTTGAGAATTTGGACCAAGCTAAGGTGAGTCTGTTTGTTCTGTTTTTTCTACCAGTCTCCTTGTTACCATTTCAAAACATGAAGTCTCGTGCACATTGTTTTCATGTGGATTTTGCATTTTTAGGTGTTGTAATTTTGTAATTTGGTGCTTTCCGTTCTGTTTCTGTGATTGCAAGATAAAAGATCCAAGAACAGAGAACTTCAGATCATGCGTTTGCAAAATCGTCCCAACGTCGTGCGACTGAGGCATTCTTTCTTTTCAACAACTGACAAGATGAGCTGTATCTCAAGTCTCAACCTTGTGCTCGAGTATGTTCCCGAAACTGTATACAGAGCATCAAAGAATTATACCAAAATGAATCAACATATGCCAATTATCTTTCTTCAGCTCTACACTTATCAGGTGGGTTCTATAATCTCTCCAGTTAGTCATGACTCATGACATGTCTGTGTAGCAATTCTTAGTACAATTGTCATGCGATTTGGTTAAAGCTTTTTGTCTGAAAATTCTATTGATTTGTTTGTCTCTTGTTGTAGATGTTGGTTAGATCTTGAGTGTGATTTGTTCAAAAGAGGATCTTTGTACACGAACTCAAGCTGTTCTACGATTCCTGACTTGAAGAGCTGCATAAAACAAGGGAGACCCGACAGCGTTTTTTTGTGTTCCAAAGATGGAAACCTGATGGTTGCGATCTTCCGAAGTTTAATCCCAAGGCGATTCTCAGTATGGTTCAATGGAAGAAAATGAGTTTTATTGGGGATTCTGGAGATGGGAACCATATGGAATCTCTTCTTTACTTGTTGTCAATGGTATGTTACAATTGAGGTTCTTTGAAGGTTTATGACAACAATATATTCAAATATGTAACTGGAATTTGTTCTCACTGTTTCATTTTTTTTGTTTGTTGAAAGGATAAGGCTATGGAGAATTCCAAGTCTCTCTTCAAATGCTAAGAACAAAGCCCCAAACCAAACTGTAAGTGTTTATCTTTGAACATTCTAATTTTTGTAAATCTGTAGTGTCTTTTTTTCTTCCCAGACTTTTGAATTGATATTCAGAATGGATCAAAGATAAAGTGTAATATTTTCTCCTGAAATTGTTTTTTATCATAAACATTGAGTCCTCAACTCCTCATTGTTTTAAGTACAAAATACTTAGAAACTACCATTTAAGGGGAAACAAAGGCATCAGTTTAAACGCAATTATGAAATTTAAGTCAATCTACTGATCTGTTTTAGTGATCAGATACGGCTAAATGAAATTTGAGTAAAACGCATTCACCATGAATTGAATTGGACAGTAATTTGCTAAGTCACCATGAATTGAATTCAATAAATAACACAACTCCGAAGAATGAGTGTTTTAATATAGATAAGTAAGCTCTACAAGAAATTCTATTAATCAAGACAAACCCATCTCGAATCAAATGAGCTAAAGTAAACAAATCAGAAGCTCGAGACACACCTGCATCCAATTGGTAATAGATTGCGACTTCTCCGGAGCGGGGATCACATATTTTCCCACCTCTAACACCAAATAGATCCAAAAAAGAAACTAACAATTAAAAAATCACTTGGAAATGTCGCAGAAGCGTACGGTTCTTAGTTGGAAGCGTAATACTGGTTATGAATCGGAATCATTGTCGGCTTTCACTTGTGTCCGGTGGTCTCATAAAAGCCAAACGAAGGAAGACGAAGACGTCTCTCTCTCCACGTGTTATTTTTTAGTTTTTCCTCTTGGTCCAATTTTTTTTAGTTACCAAGCCCAATTAGTTTATTTCTTTAACGTGTTCATTTTGGTTTACTAGGGAAGAAGCTCCCATTTCATTATGGTTTAAATTTAAACCAGTGATCCAATATGTATTTCCCACAACGCATTTACAAATTTTTTTCTTTGGTATCTAGAATCTAGATAATTTTTAGTAGCTAATTCTTGTGATCTAATGATAAAAAAAAAATTATTTAAAAAATAAAAACATATTATATATTTTAGTATGATTCAAATTTCAAATTATGATTGTGTTCTATAAATATCTTTAATATAAAGAATCTAAGGTTCTTGAAGTATAATAGTCGCTGAAAATATTTACGTATATCATAATATAAAAACAAAGGTAAAATACCAATTCCGAGAAATTCCATTTATACTTATATTAAAACAAAAATTAATTTACACAAACTACCCGCTGCGTAAACCACTTGATGCATTTTTATGCATGTTGTTCTCTAAAAATTAATTAATGTCAAACAATTTCATCAAAAAAACAAATTTAAAAATAGTCCCGCAGCGTAGCGCGGGTTTCGACCTAGTATAATTAAAACTACTCAAGTACATTTGATAATCAAGAAATATGTTTGTAACAGTACGTAAGATAAGTTTACTACTGAAGTTAATTAAAAAAAAAAAAGTTTACTACTATCCACGTGTGGCCAATAACAACTCTATGCTTAGATTCATTGAATCTAGACCAGGACAAAGATCCAGCATAAATTATTGGCAAAAGCAATGAGAAATATCTAAAATGACATTGATTCACGAATTTAATTTTAAACTAATAAATGGATTTGATATTCTTCCATTTAAGACAGAAATTATGTCCTACACTATACTTATTTTGTTTTTTAAAGAGTGTCATTCTAAAGTTTTATTTTTGTTTTATAAAAATATTATTCTATATTTTCAATGTGATTTTTATACTAAATTTCTTGATTTACCCTTAACCAAAAACTTTTTTTATTGACTTTAAATTATTAATCACTTATCAAATAAGAACATATATGTATAATTCAAAAAAAATTTCAATTTATGTGAAATATGTCAAAATAATATTCTCTGTGAAACAAAAAGAGTAGTACGTATCATGGTTTATATATTTGATTTATTTTTCTTAGATTTTTGAAAGAAGACAATAAAGCGGTGCGATTTTCTGCATTTTATCACAAAAGATATACTTTCATGTTACCAATCACATTTTTTTTTTTTTTATGTTTTGTCTAGTACTTCAACTATTCCTTAAAATTGTATATTTTCACATATATTAAGAAATGTTTTGTAACTTGTAATATATCCTTGTTTTATAATTAATTATTAGTTTTTATTTATTATAACTCTATTACTCTATACTTGCAATTTTTTTTCTCATAAATACAAACTATCTTTCACTGTAAAATATTTTTTCTCAGAAAATATGAAATTTTTTTAGTAATTTTACATTTTATAGTATATTATTGTAAAATATATTTTTGTTATACATCTTTTTGGTATTTTCTGTTATTAATTTTATTCACAGACAATGCATACTATATATCAATTGAAAAATATTTTGTTCTCTATCATTGTAAAATACTTATTCAAAAAACATACTCCCTCCGTTTCATAATATAAGACGTTTTGGATAAAGTATTTTGTTTCACAATATAAGTCGTTTTCGAGTTTCAATACAAATTATATATTATTTTAATATTTTATGATTATTTATATTATGCAGTCTCTTTTATGATTGGCTGAACTTTTAAAAAGTAGATTTTCTTAATCTGCGTGCTTTTACCTAAAACGACTTATATTTTGAAACGGAGGGAGTATATTTTAAGAAACAAAATGAGTATAATACAATTCTTGAATTATCCATAAATACATTGAATCTAGACAGAAGAAAATCCCAACACAGATGCATTAAATTGTTTGTTCTTGACAACGTCATTGAATGAATAAATCTTTAATAGCAAGTGATTATGCAAGTATGCTTGTTCCAACACCAATATGTGTACATAGATAGGAGTATGGCATAGAGTGACAAAAAAAAAAGCATAGATAAACAAAAAATATAACCTCATTCCAAAAGACAATTATATAAACAAAATTTTGAACATTTTTAAGAAGAAAATACCTTTAAATTGACAAATATTTATGGACCGACTTTTTTTTTGATGGGACTGTTCTTATAATGAAACAAAAACTAAATAAAATTATCGAAAACTTTTAAAATAATTCAAAAAGATAAATCCAAACTTCTAAATTCTAAACCGTAAATACAATGTATTACCTATCTAATGAGATGATAATAGTTTAAACGAGAAAACGTTAAACCCTAACAGTAAATTTTAAACCCAACGCGCCGTCTTAGGTAGGTCTGGGCGTTCGGTTCTTCGGTTCCATTCGGTTAAGTTCTTTCGGTTTTTGGTTCTTCGGTTCTAACCCCTTAAGATCCATGAGAAAACTAAAAAAATTTTGGTTCGGTTGGTTACTTGTCGGTTTGGTTTAATTTGGATATTTAAAAAGAGAACCGATAAATAACCAAACTCTAATAGATATCGATTCGGTTCGGTTCCGGTTATTTTACCCAAAATACCCTAAATACCGAAAAACCCAAATATTTTAAACTTTTTTGAAAAAATAGTGATGGACCAAAATATATTGGGCCATAATATCAAAAAATTAACAAAAATATTTTGGGTTAGAGGTTGTGGCAAAATGTATTGGGCCTAGATGTAGGTTTGTAGAGGGGGTTACCAAACATTTTCGATTCCATTCGGGTACCTATGAATATTCGGTTCGGTTATCATCCATATCTAGTGGATAGTGACATAGTGTGACTGAGAACCATTCATGTATTTAGTGGTATCCAGAACCGAACCGAACCGAACCCTTTTTTCGGTTTGGTTCAGTTCGGTTCTTCAGTTCTGGTTTTTATGCCCAAACCTAGGTATCATTAAGCTCATATACCCTTAACACTAATTTTATAAAATATAAAGTAAATAAAATTAGATACAGTAAAATAGTAGGCGAACTTATTCATAAAAGCATAATTTATAGTTAAAATATTTTATATTAAATAATGAATATGTTCAAATACGGATTGCTTGGGGTTGTTCCTTGTCTCTACAGCTCCCAGCGACCCAGCCTTTATCATTTTCCGAAAATATTTGATTATCAATGAGCACAATTTATGAGATTATCTCGTCAATTATTGCCAGCTTTCTAACTTTTATCATATTATATAATAATATGATATATCCTAAAAAAAATATGATATATCCTAAAAAAAGGAAAAAAATATATGATATATCCTATAGACAAAAAAAATTAATGTCCATATACTCTATACCGTATAATAATGATTACTAGCAGGGTCATGATCTGTGTTGTAGGCTGGTAAGTGGTAGCCCATTATTGCTGGTTCAAATTTTGTTTCTTCACTTTGTTTTTCTTGTTTTCTTTTCAAGTAATGGATTGATGGGTCAAAATTTTTATTTGGGGCTTCTTCAGCAAAAAAGTCGGCCCAGAGTGAATTTAATTGGTTGTGTACATAAACTGTATGTTATTGGCGTAATTCAAGTTTATGTTTTGTAGATTCCATACTAGATAATGTTGTTCTGTATTGTGCACAGAGATAATATATTAAAAATAAATTGGAGACATTTGATATGATTAGATTTAGAAGTATTTGATGAAACAAATATGATATCAAGTCAATCGGCAAGTTTTAGTTGCAACTACTAGATTTCGACTCAACTGATGACCAGCTCAACGTCGAATACCATAATTTCAAATTTAGTTTGTAATTTTTTTGTTTTTTTTTTTGTTTTATTCTCATTTCTGAACAATTTAGTTTATAGTTGGTATTTTTAGTTACTTTTTTATTATAGTATTAATGATTTAAATATATATATATATATATATATTTAAATCTCTTTATATATAGAGATATAATTTTTTTATCTCCAAATACTGTAACGTCCCGACCGTCTTTACCAGTGGGCCTCACGTCCTCTCTGGGGCCCATGGGTCCACCATTGTCCGACGGCCGGTCCGCTACGTCCGGGAGGCTTTAAAGACATGTTTACCGACCCTACAAATCACCACGTGATC